GTCCCTCTCCAGCTCTCCTGGAGCCCCTTTAGGTCCTGGAAGGGGCTTTGGAGTCTCCCTGGAGCCTTCTCTTCTCCAGGTGGGCTCAGGCACCTCAATCCCTGGTCTCCTCCTCCAGCACCAGGGAAAAGGTGACCCCTCCTCCTCCTCCTCCTCCTCCTTCTCCTCCTCTTCCTTCTCCCCCTGCTGCTGCCCGTGTGCCGCATGGAAGGGACATCCTCTGGATCATCCCTGGAGCCATCAACCACCTCCCACGTTTAATCCTCAATTTTTTTTAATCCTTTTTATTCCTTTAAAACCCTGCCTCGAGGTCTCCACGCCCCGGGATTTCGGGAAGCCTTTCGGGAATCACGATCCCGCCGAGCTCCCCCGGCTCTGGGAGCAGAGGAGGCACCCAGGAGTGGTTTGGGTGTTGGGTTTTTTTGTGCAACAAAAGGTTACAACAAAAGCAAAAAAAGCGGTCGGGACCTGCCCGGTGACATTCCTGAGCCGGGAGATCGCCTTTCCCAAGCCCGGCTCCTCCCAGAAATCCACCTCCGGGAGCGGCCCGGCCTTTTTAAGGATGCTTTTTCGGGCTGACTCAGTGTCCGACAGCTGATTCACGGCAGCTCTCGCGGAGTTGAAGAGCTGAAGGTTATTTTTGTTTCCCCCCCTCCCTTTCCAAGCCCTTTCCTTGGATTTTTAGCTCCGCTTTTAACGAGCTGCGCTCGCACGACAACCCCGATCCCAACCTGCTCCCTGACAATTCCAAACTCCAGCCGTGGAGTCTCGCGGGTCCCCGAGTCCCAGATCCAGCTCCCCGTGTCCCAAAAGTGCTGTTTTTCCCGGTGGGAATGAGGCGGAAAGGCCAAAGTCCATCCCCACCCTGTCCCTCCCAAAGGCGCATCCGGGGCTGCGTTTCCTGGTCCGGGATTAAACGGGAGCTGTTCAAAAAAAATAAATCAAAGGAACCCACGATAATCCCGAGTTTCAAAGAGAAATTCCGCCCCCCCCCCCCCCCCCCCCCCCCCCGGGAGAGGTGGGAGCGGGGGATCAGCTGAGCTGGAATTCCCGGGAGAGGAGCGGGGTTTGCACAAAGGGCTTTGCCGGAGCTCGTTCCTGCCCTGGGAGTTCGGGAGAGAGAAAAAAACAAGGAACAAAAAGACACCAAAATAAAAAAAAAGGGGGGGGGATGGGAAGGTTTGAGAGGAGCAGAAACGAAAGAGGAAGAAGCAGAGGAAGGTGTGGGAATGTGGGAGGGTGGGAATGGTGGAGCCGGAGCCGAGAGGGTTTGTCCTTCCTCTGGACAGAGAGCGTGGAATTCCCATCCCTGGAAGTGTCCAAGGCCGGGCTGGAGCAACCTGGGATGGTGGAAGGTGGGATGAGATGATCCTTAAGGTCCCTTCCACCCCAGTTCATCCCGGGATTCTCCACAGGGTGGAAAGGACGGGGTGGGATGGAGGAGGAACCATCCCGAAAACCCCGGGATCTGTTCCCTGCTCGGCCACAATTCCCAGGAGAGCTCGGGGTGGTTTCCCCCTTGAGATGCAGGTTTTCCCCCCTTGGTTTGCTGGGAAGGCAGAATTCCAATCCCAGGAATTTCCCAAAAACCCAGCGGATTATCCCAGTTCACCCCTTCCACTGGGACATTTGTGCCCAGCACTTCCCTTTTCCAAAGGGCTCCCGGGGTTCAGCCACGTTCTTGGGAAACCAAAATCCAAGAGGAAATGGAGTTATGGGCTCTTCTTGATCCTGGGAAAAACTCCCTTCGGATTCCAGGGGATGAAAAGAGACGTTTACCAAGGAAAGGAAAAGTAAATTCAAAGCTAAGATTTGGGATTCAAACATTCCCTAAGATTTGGGATTCAAACATTCCCTGCAGAGCAGAGCTCGCCCTCATTTGCCTTGCAAAGCTCCCTCTGCATCCCAACAAAACTGGCTGGGGCTGGAGAAGTGGGAAAAGGGGAAAATCCACGGGAAAAGCAAAGTTGTCACCCCAAAAGCTGCCTCCACAAAGGGATCCATGGATTTGAGGACAAAGGGGAAAATCCATGTGGAAAATCCATGTGGAAAACAAAGTTTTCTCCCCAAAAGCTGCCTCTCCAAAGGCTTCCATGGATTTGTGGACAAGGAGAAAAATCTATGTGGAAAACAAAGTTTTCATCCCAAAAGCTGCCTCCCCAAAGGGATCCATGGATTTCAGGACAAATGGGAAAAATCCATGTGGAAAACAAAGTTTTCGCTCAAAAGCTGTCTCTTCACAGGGATCCATGGATTTGTGGACAAGGAGAAAAAATCCATGTGGAAAACAAATTTTTCATCCCAAAAGCTGCCTCCTCAAAGGGATCCATGGATTTGAGGACAAATGGGAAAAATCCATGTGGAAAACAAAGTTTTCATCCCAAAAGCTGCCTCTCCAAAGGTTTCCATGGATTTGAGGACAAAGGGGACAATCTATGTGGAAAATCCATGTGGAAAACAAAGTTTTCACCCCAAAAGATGCCTCTCCAAAGGGATCCATGGATTTGTGGATAAAGGGGAAAATCCACGTGGAAAATCCATGTGGAGAGCAAACTTTACATCCCAAAAGCTGCCTCCCCAAAGGGATCCATAGATTTGAGGACAAGGGGGAAAAATCCATGTGGAAAACAAAGTTTTCACCTCAAAAGCTGCCTCCACAAAGGGATCCATGGATTTCAGGACAAATGGGAAAAATCCATGTGGAAAACAAAGTTTTCACTCAAAAGCTGCCTCTTCACAGGGATCCATGGATTTGAGAATAAAGGGGAAAAATCCATGTGGAAAATAAAGCTTTGATCCCAAAAGCTGCCTCTTCACAGGGATCCATGGATTTGAGGACAAATGGGAAAAATCCATGTGGAAAGCAAAGTTTTCATCCCAAAAGCTGCCTCCCCAAAGGATTTGTGGATATAGGGGAAAATCCATGTGGAAAATCCATGTGGAGAGCAAACTTTTCATCCCAAAAGCTGCCTCTCCAAAGGGATCTATGGATTTGAGGATAAAGCTGGCTGGAGATGGAATTTCCTACTCAAACCCTCCTCAGCTCCTGTGGAATTCCAAGGATTCCCAGGCAGGGGAAGGATTTCAGGGAAGGATTTTGGCCGAACCCGGCACGGGATGAACAAAAACTCCTGGAAAAAGGGATTTCCCACCTTGGCTTGGGTGATGTGGAATCCCTGGGATGAAACCCAGCACTTCCAAGCCGGTTAAAAAGCAGGAATTCTCAGCTAAAAAATCAGCTGCAGTCCAAAAAACAAGGTTTTTTTCCGATTTAGAGGATCAACTCGGAATTCCAGGGTGGGATGAGCAGCCCAGGGATGGGAAGTACCAGGCAGGGGGATGCTCCAGGGCCACAGGAGGCTCTGGGATCAGGTGGCAGGGCTGGAATTCAAGAGCAGCTTATCCATTATTCATCCCATTCCCAGGATCTCCAGCTCCTGTTTCAGACCTCAAGTGGCTCTTCCGGCCCCGGCTCCGACCACCCGGAAAATTCCCTCCCAAGGATCTCAGGGATGGTTCTCCAGGGGGAGTTCCAGCCCCAAATCCGTGGGGGCTGTTCCCAAAATCCATGGGGATTGTTTCCCACAAGGGATATGTTTTCTGCAAGGCAAATCCTCCCAAGAATTCCCAAACATTCCCGAGGAACAGCAAGGGTTTGCTCTGACTTGGTCATTCCCAGCAGCCGAGCTCCCCCAGAGGAGGTTTTTAGGGATAAAAGATGGGAAAAGGTCACATCCCACATTTTCAAAGGCAGTTTGACCTCCTTGGGGCTCCCAAAATTCCCTGATGGAATTTTTAGGGCAGGAAAACAGCTCCAAAGGCAGCTGCTCCTGCCGGGAATGACCCCCTGGCTCAGCTGGATTTGTGCTCCCATTTTCCAGGGACAAAAACAGTGACGTGAATCCATGGAAAAGAAAAAAAAATCCGCCCTTAAAACACCCCAAAACCAGGGACAGAGGTGCAGGAATGGCTGGGAAATCCAGGGAAATCCAGGGAAATCCTGGGAAATCCAGAGAAACCGAGGGAAATCCAGAGAAATCCAGGGAAACCCTGGGAAATCCAGGGAAATGGCACCGGAAATGCTGCCGCTCAACCCCAGGTTTTCCCTCTTTATTCCCGGAGTTTTTAAGGTCGGAAAAGGCCTCCGAGATCATGGAATCCAACCATCCCCCTCCTCGGAATATTTGCACTGGGAATTTCAATTAAAAAACTAAATTAAATTGCACGGAAGGGAAAATCCTCCTTAAAAAACAAACCCATCCCGGGGAGGGAAAAGCGGGAATAAATCCATCCTTACCTGTGCTTGACGGGCTCCTCGTCCTCCTCCTGCCTGGGAATTTTGTTTTCACGTTCCCCACCGTCCTTGGTCTGGAAAAAAAAACAGGCGGATCCGTCGGGATTTGGCCTCTCTGGGAATGAGGGAGAGCAAAAAACCAGCTCCCGAATTCCTCAGGGATCGGGATGTTTTATGGTGGGATGAAGGGAATGACGGAAGGTAAAAGGGATGATAAAGGTTTGGGAAGGGAGAAAGCCCTGCAAAAAATCTGGGAATCCACACCAGGTCCCCTTTTTTCCCCCCCTAATTGATCATCTTGGATGTTTAAACAAGTTGGAAAACTTGGAATCAAAGAGGGATCAGCACAACAAAGGGAGGGATTTCAGCTCCAGGAACACTATAGATCCAATTCCTCTTGGAAAGAGGTTTTGCATCCCCAGACCCTGGGATAAAGAGCTAATTAGTGGAATTCCCAATTGTATTTGTTATCCAGGCAGGCACGGACCTGGGATGTTCCCAGCAAGGAGCTGGGAAGGGATTGGTTTGGTTTTCCCACTGATTCAATAATTCCAAGCACCAAACAAAGTGTTTTCCACCCCCATCCTGCTCTGGAGAGAACAGTAAAGGGAATGATGGAACCAATTCCTTGGAATCCTGATGGAATTATCCTCCAAAGAACAAGGACGGTGTGGCAGCAGATTAAGTCATGGAATTCCAGCCTGGACTGGGTTGGAAGGGACCTTAAGGATCATTCCATGGGCAGGGACACCTCCCACTATCCCAGGTTTGGGGCTTGGACAATTCCAGGGATCCAGGGGCAGCCACAGCTTCTCTGGGAAATCCATTCCAGCCCCTCCCCACCCTCCCAGCCAGGAATTCCTTCCCAATATCCCACCTAAATTTATCCTCTTTCAGCTCAAAGCCATTCCCTGTGTCCTGTCCCTCCATCCCTTGTCCAAGTCCCTCTCCTGGAGCCAGCTCCAGGATCCCAATATTATTTCTGGCTAAACCCAATCCCAAACCCCTCCAAGAACCAGGAATGTTTCCCAACAATCAGCTGACTCATCCCTGGATCCCGACTGCACAAACTTCCAAAGTCTGGGTTAAAAATTAGATCCCAAGCAAACAGGGAAAGGAGCCAGTAAGCAGCTCTGGAATTGTTCAGGTTCAGCTCCTGCTCAAAGGGCGACAGAAACATTCCCGGCTTTTGAAAAAGAGGGAAAAAGAACAGGAATCATCCCTAAATTTGAGATTTGAGCTGGATTTTTAACTCCTGTTCACCTTGGGATACTCACACAGACATTCCTGGTCCAAGAAATGTTCCATCGATTCCATAAATAACCAGGATGAGCCTCTGGAAATATGGGGAATATTTAGACACCTTTCCATGGGATCTGAAGTTGTGGGAAGTCCCTTCCTGCACTTCCAGTCCTTTCTCATTCCTTTCACCTCTTCCTCCTTTAAGTGCCTGCATTCCTCTCCTTCCTGCTGGAATTTTATCCAGGAGGGTTTGAAGATAAGGAGAGATTTGGCCCCTGGAGCTGTTCCTTCCCTCCACGGGCAGGGATTCCCTGGATCCTGAAAGAACTGGATATTAAATCCTCTCCAACTTGCCCAAAACCCCCAATTCCAACTGATTCCACCCCCATCTTCCCTAAAGTCTCGGGGATATTCCTGGAAAAACCCAGGACACCGGCCCAGGTTGGCCGGAGAGGTCGTGGAATGCCCATCCCTGCAGGATCAGGGATCAGCCCGGGCTCCTTCCCACTGGGAATGTGGGATCTGGGGCCTTGTCTGTGCAGAGCCAGGACTTGGACTCGCTGATCCCTGGGGATCCCTCCCAGTTCATTCCCAGGGAGATGATCCCTCTCCCACCAGCCCCCTCATTCCAAGCGGGTTTTATTCCCTTCCTGAAGAATGACGGGATTTTCCGGAGCTCCCACCGGATTCTCCCACTTCCCAGATTCCAGGCAGGCCATATCCCAAGGCAGGAGGGAAGCCTGGAGAACCAGCAGGCAGGAATGTGGCTGTGGAAGGATTTCTAGGATCCCTCTGGGTGCTTTGCCTATGGAATTCCATCCCATCCCGCTTATTTTCCTGGCAGGAAAGCCAACTCTCCAACCCAGCAGGTGCTTTCCCAGCTCTTGGTTTCCTGGGAAATGGAACATTTTAAGGAATATGGAACTTTCCCTTGGGCTCCAGCACGTTATCAAGCTTTTTCCATGCTGGCAGGAACATTCCAGGGAAATTAGGGAACAAACTCTTTGCATTGTATCCATGAAAGCCAAGAGGGGGGGTTAAATCCCCTTGATCTGGGAATTCCCAGCCAGTTATCCCTACACTGCAACAATCCCCATCCAAGGAAAGCATCTTTTCCAAGAAAAGGGAAAGGACACAACCTTATCCTGAAGGAACAGCCGCAGGATCCATTATTTTCCTTCACTGCTTCACTTCCAACCCACCCGATTCCGTAACTCATTCCCAGGTTTTGCTTCCTGCCATCCCTCACTTCCCAAGAGTTTTAAATCCCTCAGGGATTGGGGCTCCACCGGGGCTGGACAGCCCCTTTCCAGGCGGGAATTTTCTCTCAATCCAACCTAAATCTCCCCTGGGGCAACTTGAGGCCTTTTCCTTTTGTCCTGTTCCTTGGGAGAAGGGCCGGATTCCCACCTGGATCTGACATTCCTGGCAGGGAATTGTGGAATTCCAGAATTCCAGAACATCCCACCTTCCCCTAAACCGAATTCCCGTGACAAAAATGACGCTCCCTTTGCCTCCCTTGAAACTCTGGGAATGGCAGAGCAGGTTTTCCACCACTCCCAACCCCCTGGATTCGCCGACGGCGCCGTTTCATCCGCTCCCTTCCCAGCCTCTGGAATTCTTCCAGCCTTCCAGAAAGCTTTCAATCAGACCCCAGCGGTGCCACAACCTCTCCAGCCAATTATTTTGGGATTCCTGGGAGCGACTCACCCCCAGCTGCTGCTTGGAAGTGTTTTTGCTGGATGGCTCCCGCGCTCCCACCTCCGGAGCTCCGGGAAGCGGCTCCTCATTCCCACGGGAGCTGCACTTCAGCCCTTCCCAAACACAGGCACAACTGGGGATTATTTGTTTCTTTCCTTCCCTTTTTCTCTCCTTTGAAATATTTCTCCCTTTAATCAGGGATTTGGCCTTTTCCCAAAATTCTAAGAAGGAAAAATTTCCACGTCTTGACGTCGGAATAGATATTCCGGCTCCTCTTTCCATTCCTGCCGGGTCTCTTCCCAATCCCTCAGGCTCCTCCACAGTAAACCCAACCCAGGCACATCCAACCAATCCCTGACAATCCCTAAAATGACCCCCAGCTTCCCCTTTTCCCTGGAAACTGCTCGTTTTCTTTGGGGATCGAGCGGAATTCCCAAGATCTCCTTCTCTTTCCTTTAAGGATTCCAGGACTGTCCCATTCCCAGCCCAAAGGTTTCCTTGGCACAAGGAATTGTCTCTTTTGGAGGAGTTCAAAGGAGGTCAGTGCTGGAAAGAACCTGGATTTCTCCAGGTATTTGCTGCCAGTTGAGCTGGAGCTGCTCCTATTCCCTATTTTCTGGCTGCTGGGATCCAGCTCCAGGGAACCCAGGAAAGGGAAAGGGTTCAAATCCCAAAAAACACATCCCAGCCTCATCTCCCTGCAAACTGGGAAGCTCCAGGTGCCACAGTGGGATTTTGTACATGGATAACTTCATCCAGGGAATGAGAATCCACCTTGTTTGGGGTTAAATCCCCGTTTTCCTTGGAATTTCTTTGGATTGAAGGAGACATGGAGGTGAGCTCAGCACCCAGGGATATTCCTTCATCCCATTCTCTTCTCTTTGGGAACTGGGAAGCTCCCAGGTGCCACAGTGGGATTTCCTCATGGATAACTTCATCCAAGGAATGAGCATCCACCTTGTTTGAGGTTAAATCCACAGTTTTCCTTGGAATTTCTTCGGATTCAAGGAGACACGGAGGTGAGCTCAGCTCCCAGGGATATTCCTTCATCCCATCCTCATCTCTCTGGACACTGGGAAGCTCCAGATCCCACAGTGGGATTTCCTCATGGATAACTTCATCCAGGGAACGAGCATCCACCTTGTTTGGTGGTTAAATCCCTGTTTTCCTTGGAATTTCTTTGGATTCAAGGAGACACGAAGGTGAGCTCATGTCTTCTATGAAGGATATTCCTTCATCCCAGGCTGGCACCTCCTGGGACCTTTTCCTTCCCCCCTGGCCAAGGGGAAGCTCAGGTGTCCTGGAATCCCGGCCCAGCCCTGCCCTCACCTCCAGGCTTTTTCCAAAGGTTTCATTCCAGAGGCAAAAAGCCAAGTCCTGAAAGGTCCCAGGAGCAGCCAAAGGTTTCTCCTGGCAGGAAAACAGCTCCGGAATCCAACAATTCTCCAAGGAGCCAAAAAAACAAAGGATCACAATTAAACTATCCAACAAAAAGTCCTGAGGGGAAAAAACCTTAAAAACTTCCTTAAAACATCCTCGGGATCCAGGATCCACCGCTGGTTTTCCAGGAGCCGTTTGGAATCCGGAGCAAAGGGAGATAACGGGATCAAAGGAGGATTTTTGAAAGGCAGAACTTGTGTGTCCCTGCTGCTCATCCCTGACTGAATTCCTAATCCTGGTTACTATGGAAATGGCTCGATCCCAGCTGGAGCAGCGGGACTTCCAGAAGAAACAAACCCCGGGAACAAAAGCGCCTCGGAAAATTCAACACCTTGGCCGTGTGTCCTTGGAAAAACTCCTGTTTCCCAGGACAAATCCCTGACAGGAGGGGGGAGCCGGGGAGGGATCGGGCTCTGCTCCCAGGGAACAAGGGACAGGAGGAGAGGGAACGGCCTCAGGCTGTGCCAGAGGGAATTTAGGTTGGATAGTGGGACAATTCCTCCTGGAAAGGGCTGCCCAGGGCAGGGTGGAGTCCCCATTCCCGGAGGGATTCCAAAGCCCTGTGGATGTGGCACTTGGGGACATGGTCAGAGCGGCCTTGGCAGTGCTGGGAATGGTTGGACTCTGATCCCAGAGGGCTTTTCCAACCTCAGCAATTCCAGGATCCCCCAGAGCCCGGCAGAGACCCCGCCCTGTGGAGAAGGAAAGATCCAAAGGGGATTTTCGTCCCTATTTCCACAAGGAATCCTTTGATTTTCCAACGAAACACTTTGTTCCCATCACTGGGGTTCGTATCCTGGAATTCCCTGTGGCCACAACCTTGTGTGAATCCCAGGAAAAAAAACCTGCTGCTCTTAATTCCCTGTCTCCCTGCGCCACCCAATTCCTTCGGCACAAACACCTGGATCTGCGGAATTGCCGAGTTCTTTCCCAACCCTTCGTGCTCGTTTCTCTTCCCACCATCCCTCAGGTGCTTTGGAACCATCCCAGTTTCACGGACAGGGAATTTAAACCCTCATTCCCAAAAAAAAAACACCACGTGTTGGAAAAGCCTGGACTGGGCATCGCTGGGAATGTTGGGATTGTAGAGGAATTTTCCCCGGAATCTTCAATTCCCTTGGAGCCTCCAAGCAGATCGTTTGGAGCAGGAATGAAGTTGGGATGATCCTGGTGATGTCCATCCGCATCTTTCTGCCTGGGAAAACCACTTTGGGAGGGGAGAATCCAAGGAAAATCCCGGCAGGGCCGGTGCCGGCGTTGCCATTCAACGGGATTTGTTGTTTTAATTCATGGAGAGGGGGAAAAAAGGGAAGAGAATTCCAGAGAAAGGGTGAACCAGCAGCTCCACAATTCCGAGTGGGGTTTGTCTCCGCTTCATCGGCGCCGCCATTTCCAGCCGGGAAACCCTCCGGAATTCCTTTCCTTCCCTCATTTTCTCCTTCCAAATGCGGGATTGGGATGATCCCCCCCTGGAGCTTCGGGGCTGGGGCAAAGCTCGGACCTTCCAGGCAGGGCTGGGTGTGGAAAAGCAGCCCTGGAGGTGGTTATTCCCTGTTTTTCCCTCCGTTTTGTTTCCCTCTGGAGCAGTGGAAGCAGCCACGTGGAGCGGCCGGGTTTGCTCCGGCTTTTCCCCCGGAATTCCCTCTCCAATCCAGCCAAGCCCAGCCCTCTCCTCCCTCCCATCCCACGGGACGACAGGAGGAGAACTGGAATGTCGTCCCTGTGGATTCTCAGCCTCTGATCCCAAACTCTTGCTCTCCTTCCCGAATTCCCAGCCCTCTGCAGCGGGAAGGACGACGACGTTGTTGGGAAGGAAAAGCAAGGCCTGCAAAATTCCCTCAGAATTCCTCCCAGGGCCACATCCAACCGGGAATGAGACGGGAAGGGAGGGAAGCAGGATCCTTCTCCACCTGCAGAGTGGGAAAACACAGGGATTCCCAAACCAATCCCAGCCCATTAACCCTCAAATCATGTGGAAGGAAACCTTTTATCCCTCCATCTGCTCCCTGGCTCTTCCCGGGAATCCCGACGGAACGACGTCAGAGGCGCTTTTCCCACGAGGTCAACAATGTTATTCCCTCTCCAACATCTTCTGGAGACGTGGAGGTGGAAAAGCTCTCGTGGCACTAATTCCTGGTTTCGGGATGGAAGGGATTCCCTCAGCTTTCCCACGGATTCCCACCTGGATCATCAGCCCCCATCCTGCACTTTATCCATCCTTTCGGGCTGGCGCTGCCATCCTGCATTCCCTGTCCCATCCAAAGGCACACTCCCATTTTCCATCCCTCCCCTCCAGCTGCACCTTCCCGTGGCCGGTGCTCACCTCTCCCAGTGGGAAACCACTTCAAGGATTTCCCTTCCCACAAAATTCCAACCAAACCAACCAAAAAGGGATTCACAGGTACAAATAACAGCCGGTTCCCTTCCGGAATCAGCTCATTCCAGGATCAAACACAAGCCAGGAAAGCTGGGATGTGACCATAGCAGGTGTAAAAAGGTGGGGAATTCCAGCACCTTGGGAATTCCAGCTGAGGGAAAACCCTTGGATTTCTTTGCTCCCTCCCATCAAACCTGTCCAACAGGAGCAGGCGGGTTCCGCTGCCGCTGCTTCCAGGGATGCTGGAGAGGAGCTGGGAATGAGCAAACATGGAATTCTATCCCCACATTTGTCCATCCTTTACGGAAACAAAGCCCCGAGTTCCTAAAAACGCCAGTGCAGCTCCTGATTTCCCGGGAATGCCCTCAGGGATGGACACAGACACCACTGCTCCCTCCGGCCTCCCGTCCCACCTCGGATCCCTGGGATTCGGGGGCAGGATATTTGGGCACTTGTCTATTCCCAGAGTTGATTCCCAATATTCCCTAAGCCCGTGGCCACAAAAGGAGCTTAAAATAAAACCGAATTCCACAATTATCTCACAGAATTCCAGACTGGTTTGGGTTGGGAGGGACCTTAAGGATCATCCCATTCCACCCCTGCCATGGGCAGGGACACCTCCCAGTAGCCCAGGTTGCTCCAACCTGGCCTTGGACACTTCCAGGGATCCAGGGGCAGCCACAGCTTCTCTGGCAAATCCAGTCCAGTCCCTCCCCACCCTCACAGCCAGGAATTCCTTCCCAATATCCACCTAAATCTCCACTTTTCCAGTGGGAAGCCATTCCCTGTGTCCTGTCCCTCCATCCTTGTCCCCAGTCCCTCTCCAGCTCTCCTGGAGCCCCTTCAGGCCCTGTAAGGGGCTCTCAGCTCTCCCTGGAGCCTTCTCTTCTCCAGGGGAACATTCCCAGTTCTCCCAGCCTGGCTCCATAGGAAAGGGGCTCCAGCCCTGGCAGCATCTCCGGGGTCTCCTCTGGACTCTCTCCAGCAGCTCCACGTCCTTCCCGCGCTGAGCAGCCAGCCCTGGACACAGCATTCCAGGTGGGATCCCACCTGAGCCAACAAAGACCTTCTTATCTCAAAATCAACAACGTTCCCAGGTTGGAATTGGAGAGCAGAACCTCCAGGAACAATTCCCAAGGTGACAGGAGCGAGCGCTCCGGTGGGAAGCACAATCCCTGCGTCCGCAGGTTCTGCAGCCCCAGGAGCAGGTGTGGGATCCTTTGGGACTTCCCTAATAAGGCCTGGAGTGACTTCCCTATTAAAATCTGGAGAGAAAGGGATCCTTTGGAGCCCTAAGTGTGTGTTTTTCCCCAATGGAATAAATTCCCCGAGCTCTGTTTCCACAGCAACTGTTTTCCCGGGCACTTGGCTTTCGGGATCGGGAGGTGCTCGGCTTCACCAAAGACAGGAATTAAGCAGGAATGAAGGCAATCCAAGCAAAAATTAAGGAAAACTGAGGGTAGCAAGAAGCCAAAGTGCGGGATCACAGCAGCCCCCCCCAGCTGGAAAAAGGTCCCACTGGTGTTTGTGGATCGGCCGAGTTTTTGGGACGGCGGGGAAAGAGCGGAAAGGCGGGAAAACATTCCATTGTGAGGGGAAAAACGAGCAGTGCCTGCCCTTCCTCCCGCTCCTGCTTTTCCTGCCAGCACGGGAAGGTGTGGAGGAGCAGGGATGTGGCCGTGGAGCAAATCCAACCTTAAACAAAAGCTTGGGATGCAGCCAAAGGAATCTTTTCCGGCGCGACGAACAACGCGCCGGGAACGCTCCGGTGCCGGAGCAGGGCTGGGAATGAAGGAGCAGGTGGGAGACACCCCCTCCCTCTTCCCATAAAAACACAGGAATGCTCCTGCTTTTCAAGGATTTTGGGGATAACAGAGCGGGAGAAAGAGCTGTGGTTGGGTGAGGAATGTTTGGGATGCAGGAAGGAATCTCCTCTGCACATCCCACATGACAATCCTTGATTTTGCCAGTGGATCCTTTTGGAATATTCTCAGCATTCCCTGAGCCAGCAGGTATTTTAAAAGGAGAGGAATATTCAGGTCTTTTCCTGGCAAATTCCCTCTTTTCCTGGGAAATTCCCTCTTTTCCTGGGAAATTCCCTCAGAGTGGAACCTTGAGCCACCCAACTCTGTCCCGGGATTTAATGGCGGGAAAGGCAAGTGGAAAAGGAAAAATCCAGGATGGTGAATCCTAAATATTGTCACAGCAAGGAATTTTTTCCTTAAATTAAGGAAAAGGGACCACTTTCTTCCCACTTAACAAGGGAAGAAAGCGAGGGAATGATGCAAGGGAGGAAAAGGGGGAATCAAAGCAGGAACTCATCCATCTGTGTATTTTCCCTTAGATCATTTGGATAATCCTGGAATATATTCCCACAAAAAGCACTTCCATAGGAGCCAATGGCACAACCACCTGCTCTACACCCTTGGAAATCCAAGGATTCCAGACAGAAGAAGCTCATCCAGCAGCTACCCACCGGTTGCCAGGCTGGTTTCATGGAATTCCCAAGCAGGAATCTCCTTGCCTGGTTTATTTATTATCCTCTCCCATCGTTTTTTTATTCCTAAATATTTCTGGAGAGCTCCCTCAAGGGAATCTGACCTGAAATCTGAGCAAGCAGAAGGAAGAAATCCCCTTTTTCCTCTTTTTGGTGTCTCCAACCCTTCTGTTGGCACAAAATCCCAGGAAACCTGGATTTTACCCAGGCAAGGACATCACACCAGTTTCTCCGTGGAAATTCCTGTTGTTCTCCTGAACAGTGGGAATAAAAATGTGCCACCCTTTAGGCATCAGGTGCATCCCAAGAACCAGAATGATCTGGAAATTCCAGGAAGAGCAGGATGCCTTAACTAAGGGCTTGCAAGAAGTGCGAGAAATAAGAATATTCCCAGAATATTTTCTTATGCCACTTTATCCCTAATTTTTAGGAAGCCTTGGATGGCTGAGGGCAGGGTTAGAGGGAATATTGAGGAGGGATTACGGCTGTGAGGGTGGGGAGGGGCTGGGATAGAATTCCCAGAGAAGCTGTGGCTGCCCCATCCCTGGAAGGGTCTAAAGCCAGGTTGGAGCAACCTGGGATAGTGGGAGGTGTCCCTGCCCACTTTTCCAGTGGGAAGCCATTCCCTGTGTCCTGTCCCTCCATCCCTTGTCCCCAGTCCCTCTCCAGCTCTCCTGGAGCCCCTTTAGGCCCTGCAAGGGGCTCTCAGCTCTCCCTGGATCCGTCTCTTCTCCAGGCTGAATTCCTCAACTCTATTCCCATTTGAGCCGTGAAATCCATGGGTGGCATTTCCCTGTCCCTCACCCCCCACTCCACATGTTCCTGAACTCTCAGGCAGCCCCTGGGATGTTTGGGATGTTTGGGATGCTGCCCCTTCTACCAAAGGAAGGAGCTTCCAAAGCTCCTCCAAGGAAATGCTTTGGGCACATCCAGCCCTGGCACAGCTGCCCAGGGCAGGGGTGGAGTCCCCATTCCTGCAGGGATTTAAAATCCTCATGGATGTGGCACTTGGGGACATGGTCAGCGGTGGCCTTGGCAGTGCTGGGAATGGTTGGACTCGATCTCAGAAGCTTCTCCAAACTAAATAAATCTGTGATTCCATGACTTAGCCCCTCTATTCCTATTG